CGTCCTGAACCTGTCACTGAAGCCCAGACTCTACACCTCTACCTGTGTCTTAGACTCCATGTGACCAACTCTGACAAAGCATACCCAACCTCAGATCTGGGCACCTTAGACCTCAGTAGGAACCCTGGAGCCTCACCCTCTGGTCCCCATCTTTCATTCCTAGCACCCCTTGGGTCCTGCTCTTACCCTTGAAGCCTGGTGTTCTCTCTGATAGGGCCAGGGGAGGGCCTGGGGGCTTAAAAGACAGAGGAGGTGGAGGCTCGGGTAATTATCAAGGCCAAGGCGGAGCTGTGGCTGCCCAGAACAGCTTTAAACAAAGATGCTTTGAACAGAACTTAAGAGGTGAAGGAAAAGGACACCAGAGGCTGAGAAGTGGGGTGGGGAAGCTGCGGTTAGTCCAGGAAGCTCCAGAAGCTCCTGGGAAGCTCATCTCTAAACCCGATCCTGCTGCCTTGGGAGACCAGCTCTGGGGCTTCTGAGCGCCATTGTTCTGCTCAGTAATCCCAGCTCAGCCAAGCCAGCTGACCTCACAGGGAAGCTCAGACCCCAGACCCACACTCTAGATCTCAGGCCTGAACACAGACCCCAGCCTGGCTGGTCCCTTCTGGGTTTTAGGTCAGTAGGAGCTTGGAGTGGAGAATGACCAATTTCAAATTGCCAGAACACCTTGGCCACAAGCAGCACTGTGCACTATGGGGAATGGTGTACTCTGTGGTTTGGGGGTAACCAGGATAGAGCAAGGAACACCAGAACTGAGCTGATGCCAGTGCCATGACTTTGCATCTATAAGACTATCAGGTAAGGGATCTCTTTTCTTTATAAAGTTAACCTGCTTCTGGCATTTCATTATGTCATGAAAAACCAATAAAGGAGAGGATGCATTCATTCTAAGAGAGTTTCCACTGGGCAGAACTGTGCTCAGTACAGGGCTGGCATTGAAGAACTGGGAATAAGGAGAAAAGGCTGAGCAACCCAACAGGATGAAGGCAAGACAAGGGCTCTGTTGTGGTTCAGTGCTTGGATTACAGGGAGGAAGGCAGACTTCAGACTTGGCTTCTGCTGTCCACAGCCAAAGACCAAACTTAAAACCCACACATAAGGCTTGAGAATGTGGCTAAGATGGCAGAGTGCTTTAACCCAGGATGACATAAACTGAGGGTGGGCACACACTTAGGGGTCCAGCACTTTAGAGACAGACTCAGGAGGATCGGGAGTTCAAGATGATCTTTGGCTACGTAGCAAGCTTGAGGTCAATCTGGGATACATGAAACCCCGTCTCAGATAAACAACCCCCCATATTTGTTGGAGGTGGATAACTCAGTGGTAGAGCCCTTGCTTATTTGAGGCCCTGGATTTGACCCCCAGAAACACACAGACACAAACACAAACACACACACACAAACACGGGGGGGGGGGAGGAAGGAACAGAGGGCGGGGTGGTGATGTGGTGATAGTAGTATCAGTTGATCCAACTGACTCAGCTCTCTGAAGTTTGGCTTTGGCATGTCCTCCCTCCAATGCTGAGCCTTTGATGGAGTTATTCAACTTCCGTTTCATCTCGCTTTTCTCATCTATAAAGCCGATCACTTGGTTGTTGTAAAGATTAGCTGGGTGAGCCATGGAGCATGGAGCAATGCCAGACATGTGTCCAAGTCTATAAAATTGCAGGAAGGATAGAAGACAAACGCGCCCATCCTCCTTGAACTTCAGGGATCTTCTGTTGCTCCAGGTCAGGCCCCTAGAAGGTGAGTCCAAGAGCCCCTAGTGCAATGTCTGTGGCTGTTAGAAAGATTAAGGACTAGTGGAGGAGGGTTAAGGAGGGTTTAAGGAGGGTCAGAGTGGCCTGAGAGGAGATGGTCAGCCCTGGGGTCAGGGCCAAGCTTTGTGGTGGGTACCCCATCTGGCACAGGGCCTGGAAGCTGCAGTCCAGAGTGAGGCAGCAAGGCTGGAAGACACGGAGAGATGGGTCGCACTGAACAAGGAGATAAACTCTGTTGGAGAATTTGGCTGAGTTCAGGGGAAAAGTCTGCAACTGGTTGAATGTTGCCCCTCTGAACCTTGGGAGAAAGAAGAGAGCAGCCCCAAACCCAAGCCAAACAGAGGCACAGACTGTCCTAAGCCCGTCTCCCTGTTAGACTCAGTTTGTAATGGTAAGAAACAATGCGTCCTCACCTACCTGGGCTTGCATTCCCCGACAAACTCCATGCAGCTAAGTCCTGATTCTAAGATGTGTTGCACGGGCCATGGTGAGAGCAGGGGCGTGTGGTACTGGTGTAATGGTTTGTAGGACCATGAAAGGCAGCCTGGTTTCTGGTTGAACACAGGCTAGAAACTGCCGGAGATCTCAGGTGATCCTAAGGGACGGCATGTGTTTTGACACGCTCCCAGATTCCAGGCTCCTGACATGAGACCAGCCTGGTCTACAGAGTGAATTCCAGGACAGCCAGGAATAAAAAGAGAAACCCTGTCTTGAAAAACAAGAATAAAACCAAACCAAAACAACAAAGAATGCCACCAATAGACAAAATCTGTGCAAAGATGCTTTTTTAGGCAGCATATTTTTGATTTTATTTTATTTGAGAACAGTTCTCATTGTGTAACCCCAGTTGGTCCGACTCGATATGTAAACCAGGCTGGCCTTAACTTATAGATATCTACTTGTTTCTGTCTCTCTTTGGTGTGCCAAACGTAAAGGCTTTGAGCCACCATATTTGGTCAATATTCCTTTTATATAGAAATATCTAAAATAAGAATGATAAAACAGAGCCAGGCGATGGTGGCACACGCCTTTAATCCCAGCACTTGGGAGGCAGAGGCAGGCAGATTTCTGAGTTCGAGGCTAGCCTAGTCTACAGAGTGAGTTCCAGGACAGCCAGGGCTACACAGAGAAACCCTGTCTCGAAAGACCAAAAAAAAAAAAAAAAAAAAGAATGATAAAACAGGATGAACAATACTTAAGGTGTGTAGCTGCAAATGTCTGGGAGCTGCTATGTGGGTGCTCGGCATCAAACTCAGGTCCTCTGGAAGCGCAGTCAGAGCTCTTAACCGCTGAGCCATCTCTCCTGTCCTTTATTTTTCAAAAGGGAGGCAATTTCTCGGGCACCAGATGTGTATGTGGTGCACAGATAGACATTTTGGCAAAACACTCATACATATTAAAAAAGAAAAATAATAATCAGAGAGGGGAAAAAATGAAAGAAAAGAGAATTCTTAGCAACTTTTTGTAGTTTCAGGAGCCACCCAAAATCACATATATGGTTACTGCCCAGACACCTACTGTGGCTCTCTTGAAGATCCCACATACACACTTGGTGTGTCGTATTCTCTCTTTTTTAATCCTTGTGATGGTTAGGTTTTTTTTTTTTTTTTTTTTTTTCCGAGACAGGGTTTCTCTGTGTAGCCCTGGCTGTCCTGGAACTCACTCTGTAGACCAGGCTGGCCTCGAACTCAGAAATCCGCCTGCCTCTGCCTCCCAAGTGCTAGGATTAAAGGCATGGGCCAACACTCTCATCCTGGCTGTCTTGGAATATACTAGACCAAGCTAGACTCAAATTTAAGGCAGTGTGCTAGGAAGCCTGTGTGATGGTCAATTTAACTATCAGCTTCACAGTATGCAGAATCACTTCAGAAGAATCTCTCACTCCTCTCTCTCTCTGTCTCTCTCTGTCTCTCTCTGTCTCTCTTTCTCTCTCTCTCTCCCCCCGTACCTCCCCCCACCTCTAAGTTTTTTGAGACAGTTTCTGTGTGGCCTGGGACTGTCCTAGAACTTAAATTGTAGATTAGGTTGGGCTTGAACTCACAGAGATTGGCCTGCTTCCACCTCCGAGAAGTGTTGGGATTAAAACAACACTGAGGAAGGGGGATTTCAGTGAAGGATTGTTTAAATAAGGTTAGCCTGTGACCAAATCCTAGAGGTGGCCATCTTGATTATGGTAATTGACATAGGACAACTCACAAAGTGGGTGATGCAGGTTCCTGGGTTTGAGTTCTGGACTGTAGAAAAAAGGAGACAGGCTTCCTCTGTCGCTCACTTTGTAGGTAAGGCTGGGCTTGAAATCACTGAGATCCACCTACCCCTGCTTCCAGAGTCTTAGGATTAAGGGTATGTGCCACCATGCCTGGCTGGCTAGGCATACTTTAATCCCAGCACTGGGGAGGCAGAGGCATTTAAGGATCTCTGAGCTGAAGGCCAGCCTGGTCTATGGAATGTGTTCCAGGACAGCCAGCACACCCTGTCTTGAATAACCAAAACAAACAAGCAAGCAAACAAACACCAAATTTGCTTGTGCACAGTCTTGGGGGGGGGTAATTGTCTGATTAGTGATTGAGGTAGGATGGCACAAGTCACTGTTGGCAGCACCATCCTGGGGTGGATGATCCTGGGTTTTATAAGAAAGCAGACTGAGCAAGCTATGGGAAACAAGCTTTCTCCATGCTCTCTGCTTCAGTTCCTACTTCCATGTCTCTGCCATGAGTGCCTGCCCTGATTTCCCTCAGTGATGGAGTGTGACCTATAGTTGTAAGCTGAAATAAATCCTTTCCTCCCAAAAGTTGATTGTGGTGGTGGTGATGATGGTAGTGTGTGTGTGTTTGTGTGTGTGTGTGTGTGTTTTCTCTGTGGAGCCCTGGCTGTCCTGGAATTCGCTCTGTAGACCAGGCTGGCCTTGAACTTGGAGATCTGTTTGCTTCTGTCTCCAAGTGCTGAGGTTAAAGGCATGCACCACCACTGCCAGGCTTGGCTGTGATGTTTTACTACAGCAGCAGAAGCTCTAACTAGATATGGGTTTAATCTGAAATTCTGCTCTGCATCTAGTCAGGAATCTAAGCTTCCCATGGAGCTGGGGCTCCTATTCACACTCCACTGTTGCTGACAGTGGGCTGTCTGCAACCAAAGCCTAGACAAGCAATCATGTGTCCTGGGCTGGACCACTCAAGATGAACACAGGGAAGTGTCCAGGAAGTCACAAGGTCTCCATAATGTCCTGTAAAGTGCCAACTCTGATATACACAATGAATTTATTGGCAAAGAAGACAAGACAAAGGCCTGGTGAAGCAGGATGTCCCTACCCTACACTGAATGTCCTGGGGCTACGGAGAGTACAATGGTGCTTTAGGCCCAAGGCTGCAGCCTCATGGGCTCAGGTGGGCCTTAGGATCCAGGGAGCCTGGAGCAGAGTGACAGACAGCAGGGGTAAGGCCAGATCACGCCTGCCTGCACCATTGAGGACCATCATGGTCTCAATCCAGTTGTAGTGATGACTGACGTTGGTGTAGACACCAGGCAGGTTGGGCCGTCCACAGCCTACTCCCCAGCTCACGATTCCAATCTGATACCAGAGACCATCCATGCTGCAGACCAAGGGTCCTCCTGAGTCACCCTGAAGAGCAGCAAGGATAAGCCTGATGGTTTGGTAGGTGGAGTTGGGAAAAGTCAAGGGGACAAGGAACACTGTGGGGTAGAAGACTGTGTGATGTCTCCCCCTGGCAGTCACAGATCCTCAGTCTCTTTATCAGGAAAGTAGGGCTATGGTTTCCACCTCTGAGGGTCTCAGGGATGATGGAGAAAAATATCATAAGTGGGAAATGAGAGGTAGATCTATAGGCTGAGTAATTAAAGGCTCTAAGTGATTTCTCACAGATGAAGTGAAGGCAGGCTGATGGCAGACCTGCAAGGTGGGGGGGCGGCTTCCTCAGAGACGAAGGCATACTCACACTGCAGGTGTCTGCGCTCCCATCCTCAGCACCAGCACAGAACACGTCCTTGGTGATCAAGTGGTGTAGGGAGGGAACACTGAACAGTTCCTGGCACCTGCTATTGTTTAGGATGGTGACCTGTACTTCTCGGAGGTGATAGGGCGGTGGCAGAGGCTCTGGAGGTAGGAAGATACAGAGCACAGTGTTATGGTCTCTTCTACTCTCTAGGGCACGAGAACACAGCTTACATGATGGTGGTGTCCCCTGCTGATGGCCCCACACCATGGACAGTCCAGTATGACAGAAGGAACCAGCGGGGAGATAAGTGGAGGTTCCCTGAGTCCTCTAATTCCTCCATGTCTGCGCTGGAAGGGCTGGCTCCTGAGTATGCAAGTGGGGACAGTCCTCTGCTGGAGCACAGGTGGAGAGAGGTTAGGGGTGCTCAGATAGTTTGGGGACACAGGATGGAAAGATGGAGATTCCCAAATTCACCAGGTTGGTGGTATATGCCTTGACTCTCAGCACGGAGGTGACAGAATTGTGAGTTTGAGGCCAGCCTAGACTACAAAGAAAAACATTGTCTTTAAAATGTTCTCAGGGTTGGGGCTGGAAAACTGATAAGAGCACTTACTGCCCTTGCAGAAGACCCAGGTTTAGTCCCCAGAACCCACATGAAGACTCACAGTTGTCTGTAACTATTTCCATGGGATCTGATGTGTTTTCTGATAGGCACGAACACGCACGTGCGTGCACACACAAACACACGCACAAACATGCACTTGGGTACACACACACGCACGCACACACACACTCAGGTACAACACAGAAAATAAGATGAACACTTAAGAAATATTCCCAGGGCCAATAAGATGGGCTCATGAGTGAAAAGCGCTTGCAGTACAAACCTGAGGACCACAGATACCTGATCATCTGAGTTCAGTCCCCAGAACCCATGCGAACACCAGGTGTGGAGGTGTGCACCTGTTACTTCTTTCCTTCCTTCTTTCTTTCTTTCTTTCTTTCTTTCTTTCTTTCTTTCTTTCTTTCTTTCTTTCTTTCTAAAGACTTATTTATCTTATGTATGTATGTGAGTGCACTGTCGCTCTCTTCAGACACAGCAGAAGAGGGTATTGGATCCCATTCCAGTTGGTTGTGAGCCGCTGCCAATACTTACATTAACAAAGAGGGAAACCACAAAGTAGTGACTTCCCCTTACATCTAAGGAAACAGAAAGAGAGTGCAAATGAAACCCAGAGCTGCCAGGCTGAGTGGAGTCACCTTTAATCCCAGCACTCAGGAAGCAGAGGCAGGCAAATCTCTCTGAGTTTGAGGTCAGCCTGGTCTACAGAGTGAGTTTCAGAACAGCTAGGGCTGAATGGAGAAATCCTGTCTCGAAACCACAAACAAACAACCCCGAGAACTGCCTGAGAAACAGAATAATGGAAGCATAGTGCACACTAACAAATGCCTATAATTTTATATCCAGGAGGCCCAGGTGGAAAGACTATGTGTTCAAGGCCAGCCTGGGCTACATAGTGAGTTCTGGAACTATGTAACAAACAGATGAGAGCAGAGGAGGACAGGGTGATAATCAAGCCAGACAGAAAAACTAACGTACCCGAAAGTCGGTTCTTGGAAAGTAGCACAGAAGACAAAATGGAGACATTTCTCCTGATCTTAAGAGGCAAAGGAGAACAACCTGGACTAGTGCAAACATCTTTAATCTTAGCGCTAGGGAGGCAGAAGCAGGCAGAACTTTGTGAGCTCAAGGACAGACTGATCTATATAATGAGTTCAGGGACAGCCAGTAACAGCAAAAACAGACCTTGTCTCAAAAAAAAAAAAAAAAAAAAAAAGGAAAGAAAAGAAAGAAAGAAAGAAAGAAAAAAAGAAAGAAAGAAAAAAGGGCCCTTTTCAGAGAAGCCCAAATCCGTGCTCTTTAAAAAAAAAATTATAGGGACAGGGTGGGGATGAGGGGATGAAGCAATGATGAAAGTCAGTGGACACCTGACTCTGCCCATGAAGTGGGACCTGGGGATTGAACTCAGGTCGCTAGGCTTGGGAGCAAACCTCTTCATCCACTTGTCGGCCCACACCTGAGCTTTTCCCTCTTACCTATCATGCCTAAAATGTATATCAAAATATTGTAACAAGCCCCAACTCTACTTCATAAGAATAGGGCTACAGAGATGGCTCAGCAGTTAAGAGCACTGACTGATCTTCCAGAGGTCCTGAATTCAATTCCCAGCAACCACATGGTGGCTCACAGCCATCTGTAATGGGATCTGATGCCCCCATCTGATATCTTCTGGTGTGTCTGAAGAGAACTGGAGTGTATTCATATAAATAAAAAACAAGTAAATCTTTTTTTTTTTTTTTTTTTTTGGTTTTTCAAGACAGGGTTT